GTGCCCGGGACCCGGCGGATGCGCCAGCTCGGCGCTGCGCCGATGCGGAGGGAAAGGTCGCGGGCGCTCGCCAGTGCCCGGGCTCTGCGCGCTGGGCCGCTCCTCCGCGGCGCTTCACCGGGAGCCGGCCTGACGTCGTCCAGCCCAGGCAGTGCGTGCCCGCGGGACCGCCGGCTCCGGGAGCTAGAAGGCGAGGGAGGAAAGGAGGGAGGAGGGGGCGGGAGCCCGACAGTCGGACCACACCCACCCGGCTCTGCCGCCGGAACGCGCAGAGGTCCTGGAGCCTCTTCCGCAGGCGGTACGGCCTCGCCCCGCGCCCGCCGCCACCCTGCCGACCGGTTCTCTCTCCAGCCACCTCCAGTTGACCTGGATCTCTCTGGGGAAGGCGGGGGAAGAAGAGTTTTCTTCAACCTAAGAAGCTACCTAAGAGTCTTCTTCGATGATGAGGGGTCCTGGCCTACCTGAGGGTCATTGATTGTTTCAGCCAGGCTAGCAGGGAGCGAGGCCCTGGGGTGTGAGAGAAGGATCCCTGGGCTGCAGTCAGAAGAATTGGGTTTGAGTTCCAGATCTGCTTCTTCGCTAGCGTGTGAATCCTGCCTCAGCCACCTGCTGGCTGTGTGGTCTTGCGCAAGTCACTCACCCTCTCTGAACCTATTTCTCTCTCTCTCATGTGATTGTAGGGAGCATTTAATGAGAGAATAATGCCTGTAAGTAAGTGATCACCGTGCCTGGCATCATGCAATACGCGTTTAATAAATGGTAGGCTGCAGCTCTGTGATCTTTGGAGGATTTAACTATTTCAAGCGTCAGTTTCTTCATCAATAAAATGAGAGCAAATGATGTTTAGTTCCCAGAGTTGCATGAAGATTAAAAGAAAAAACGAGTGCAAAGGGCCTGGCTTTATTTATCCCACCCAGTTGTAGTAAGGGTGGAGTGAGACGATTTAAGTGAAAGCCTTAGCTAGACTCGTCAACTGTCTTGGTTATCTGTCTTAGTAACCGCCAGCAAGTTGCTCTCTGTCTTTTAGCCTCAATTCGCTATCTGTAAAATGCAAAAGGCGCAGTGATACCCACCTCTGGGGGTTGTGGTCTGGCTCAGATGAGTTGATATGTGTAAAAGTAATTTGACATCTATAAAGTGCTAAGCAAATGTAATGCAGTGTTCTTATCCTGAGGCTTAGGGCCTCAGTAGCACACAATGTTTTTGTGGTGTTTAGAAAAAGGCGCCACTCATATGGAGGAATTCTAAATAGGCGCCTCCTTGAGTAAACCTCCTAGAAACAGGCATTCCTGTGGACGGACTAATTGGAAACAGGCCCCACCTCTTCCCAACCAACCAATGAAAAGGGGGCACTCATCCTGGACGAACCCATTAAAAAGAGGCGCTCCTCTGGGCAGACCAATGAGAAAAAGGCGTCCTTGAATGGCTCAGACACATTGCCGTGCCAGGGCTCCGCGGGGGGCATAGGGTTGAGGATGGAGTTCTTTGCCCACCCATGCCCTCTCTCCTCCGGTGCCCTTGTGCACATCTGTAAGGAGCGTCTCTGCTTGCAACGGAGCGCCAAAGATGGTGGGCAAGGCCTGGACCTTACCCTAATAGAGCTTTCTGTCTAGTGGGGCCAACTACAACGAAGGTCTTCAGCTAAGACAGAACAGACTGACACGGCTACAGATTCAGGCAAAGTCCTGCGGTGAGCCTGGGGGAAAGGAGATTCTGAAGGGGAGGGAAGTAGGGTTGCTAGGTTGAGCAAATAAAAATACAGGATGCCCAGTTAAACTTGAATATCAGATTAATGACGAATAATTTTTAGAATAAGTTATGTACCAATGCAATATTTGAGACACACTTATATAAAAAATTATTCATTGTTAATCTGAAATTCAAGTTTAGCTAGACATCCTCTATTTTATCTGGCAACCCTCGAGTGTGTGTGTATGTGGGGAATGTCAGAAGGTTCCAGGTATGACGTGGTATATGGTGCCCTTGACGAATAGGTGGATTTTGATAGGCCAGATACAGCTGTGCTTTGGCGCAGGGAGCTCTGAGGAGCATCAGTTGGTAAGGACTCTGTGGGCCAAGCCAGAGTCAAACCCAGGTTTGCCAATTCTTTCTCCTGGCAGAATCTCTCTATCCCTTCCTCTGGCACATCCTAGGGGTTTTTCATTTCAGTTGCACTGGGAGGAGAGGGAAAGGCAGGAAGCAGTGGTTCTTTGGAGGGCTGAGTGACTGGGAGAAGACAGGCTCGGCCTCTCAAAATGCTGACCCTGCCTTTTTCTGCATCCCAGGCTAACCCTGATCCCTGGACCTGCAAAACTACACCACTGCTGTGTTTGAAAGTTGACTTCCTCTGCTTTCCTTTTGTGTCCTTGGTTAGATCATTTCATCCCATTCTCACCTCTCTCCACTTCACCCTGCTTGAGGTCACTTAGAGATGCCATCCAGGAAGTGCCTGCAAGAATTTATGCAGAACAGAGCTTCCTTTGCCCACACACCCGCCCTGGGCTTCAACTATGCCTTTGCACAGGATGTCTCTATTTCCCAGGAAGACAGCATGTTTCCACGGTTAGAACTTGGGGAGCAGGGGGCTTCACTTCGCTTTTGCCTCTAAAGCTTACTCATAAATCCCAGAGCACCAAATTCCGTGATCTTCTTCAGGAATCCAGGGGTGGATTCTACACAGCTTCACAACTGACATGCTGTATTTTTTTACTTTCCAGGACACATCCTGAGCCAAATCACTTTGGATGGGGTGGAGAAGGAGGGCAGCTATGAGGTGAGACGGGGACCAAGGAGGCAAGTAAGATGAGAAAGGCAAGGTAGTTTATTGCAAAGAAGCTCAATTCATAGCAATGGTATCAGAAGGCTTTGGAGCAGGGATTCTCAAAGCACGGTCTAAAGATCACCCACATCCACAACAATACTTTGGTGACTAGTCCCTATATTAATCCAATACCAGTATTTCTTCCTCTGGTGGGAGTGGGGGTGGGGATGGGAATGAGGAGTTGGAACAAATAATAATGGTTAATACTTATTCAGAAATTAACATGTGCTATATATGTGCTATGTGCTTTACATAAATCATGTCATTGAATCTTTGCAGCTTCCTTTTGAGAAAGCTCCTATTATTAGCATCTTTATTTTAAAGATGAGGAAACCGAGGCTGAGAGATTATATCACTTGTCCAAGGTCACAAATCTAGTAATGGGGACAAAGTTCAAACCTGGATAGTATAATTCCAGATCTTGGGCCCTTAAACACCGTATTATCTCGCCTCAAGTCAAATTTATAAAATGTGATTCTTGGATCAGCATTTGTTAAAAATTCAGATTCCTGAGCTCTATTCTAGACCAACTGAATCACTAAATACTAGATACCAATGTTCAAGAGGAAAATAGCTCTAGGTTTTCCAAGGGTCTGGCTCTCTCCTTCCCTCCCTCCCTATCTTGGCTGAGCAGGTTCCTGATCCAGCTAGGCAGGCAGTTCTCTCCATACCTTCTCTTCAAAGAGAGCTGCTTCCCCTCCCTCCCTCCCTCCCTCTCCTTGCACTGGGACTCCGCTCAGATCCACGGTTCCTCGCAGCCCTCCCAGAGTGGACAGGACTTCTGTGGAACTCATGCCAGGGCCTAGACATGTTGCCTGCCCAGCTGGCAGCTGTCCTGGGCCATTCCATCATCTCTGACAGAAGGCAACAGCTGGCCAGTGAGTTGTCTTCCTCTCCAGGACCCCTCGAATCAGGCAGGATGTGTGGACCTGGACAAGGTCCCTGGGCCTCAGTTTCTCTCTTCATAATGTGAGGAACAATCAGCTTTGTCCTTGCCCCTCCTCCTCCCCAGGAAGTGTGCAGAACACAAAATAGATTTTATCAGAAGGAATTCTGGGCTCTGGAAAAAGGCACTAACGGAATGATCAACCTCCAAAAACCACAATAATAGGGGTAATAAGAGGAATAATGAGGATATGAGATTAGCTTGGGAGAGCTGAAGAGGAGGCTTTCCTCAGAGTTGTCAGGACTTTAGCTGTGATAATTTGGATTTGTTATTGACCTGTGCATTTTTAGCTGCAATTCAATTCTAGAAGCCCTGACTTTCCAGCAACTGCCTCTGCCTCTGGAAGAGAAATTTCCTCTCTCCAGCACATGTGCATGTGGTCTCATCAGTCTGGGTCATATTCACAAGTATACCTACCTATCTACCTGCCTGTACGGACACACGTGCACATGCTCATAGGGGACTGGAAAAAGCAAGAAACTTGGAGTGAGACAGACCTGGGTTTGAATCTTGACTTTTTCACACCCTGTTGACCCTTGCAAATCAACGAACCTCTCTGAGTTTCTGCCATTTTAAAATGGGAAAAAAATAATTCCTGCCTTTTCTCCTACTCCGATTTGCTATGGGGAGCAAGCTACACAATTAGTAACTGTTAAATCCTATCAAGTGCTGGATATTGGGTGCACAGACACAAGTGTACACGTATGTATTCTTTGCACAGGTTCACACTTGAGCATGCTAACATCCACACAATATACACAAGCCTGCCCCAGGACAATCACATGAGTGCCTCCTCGCCAGACAATGGTCTCTGGCTCAGAGCAGCCCCATCTCCAGGAACCCTCATCACGATTTGCAGGGCGTCAGCCTCTTCTAGTTTGTTTTTTACTCACACCAGGACCCAGGGGACTTGCAAGGAGCACAATAAAAGCCTGACCAATCTGGCTCTGTGCCCCACTTCCCTTCCACATAAAGGCTGTCTAACCGCCAGGCAGCTGGCCTGAAAGGCCGGGCCAGGACCTACTCAGCATCTGCTGCTTTGCTTAAAAGACCTGCTAACAGGAAAGTGTCTGGTTCCTTTCCACCCCAAACAGGAAGTGCCTGTCACTGTCTCGAGGACGGAGTAG